AAACCAGTTTCACTCTGTATTGCCTGACGTCCGTTATCGTTATACCGTGTTTGTATACCACCATAGTGTCGACAAATAGGGCAGTTTGGACCATTGTTGGGTCCGCAATAGCCGTCAACGCCAATTTTACCAAATGGCGCATTATTGTCCTCCATATTATGCTTTCCACAATAGTATAAACCAGTCGTGCCTTGCTTAGGAGTCCATATACCTGCTCGAATGGCAGGTGGATACAACGTATTGAGTGCGGCTTTGTCACCATTACTTAGATGATCATCGTTATGATGTGCCCAGAGATTACGAATCTTCATCTTGTCTTTCACAATGGGATAGTGCATGATAGAATCAGCATCGTATCTGCCAATAAGCATTCCTTCTCTATAATAATTGTTCTTATTTTGACTTAAACATTCAACGTATTGATCACGATCTTCACGTTGATATTCATGTACGAATCCTAATGCATGCAACAATTCATGCAATACGTTGCCCTTGGTACACTATCCGAAATGTATTATTTGTTCACCACCCTTCATTTCGCGCCAATATGAATAACTTTCTTTGTTGTCATTATACAAAATGCAAATACGATTGATTGCTGCATTGCTATTCTTGAATAGAATGCCTGATGACGCTTCTTTGATATCGTTTATAGCATCGAGAATTGCTTTCCGATATTCTTGGTTCAAACGTTCATGAAAGCAGTAATAAACAGTGATTGGTTGAGTATTCAGTCTAGCTTTTGAATTCAAGGCTGTTAGAATAGGTATGCCATCCCATCTGATTGCATTAGGACTTATATTACCTTTTATGGCGGCCATTTTTACGATTTTCTAAAATGGTATTGAGTGAACGAATATGATAACATCTAGCAATGATTGTGAGAAAGTAGAGTGGTTTGATAGTAAAAAAAAATCACATGATATATGTTTATGAAAACTCTTTTTCTAATAGGTGCTTCCAATAATAACTACAATATGGTCTTCTTATGTTTTAGCATAAGAGTGTGTTACTCGTTTTTAACAGAGTAAATGATTATAGGCTCGTGACGATGTAATTTTGGATTAAAACAAGACAGATACCAACATCTATACCTACAACCTTATCAGTTACAGACACGAAAAAAAAATATTGCGCAAGTTCTTTCCTCAAAATGTCCATTTGAACAGTTTACGTCTATTTGTTCGGTTAGAACAGACGAATAATTTTAAAAGAATTATGATCTGTATTCGTGCAAAATTTTGATTATGTACACCTGAAATAAAAATAGTTAATACTTGTGTTAACTATCATATCCATATACTCAGTAACGCAATCTTCCAGTAGCCAATGTATGCGAACAGCTTACGTAGTTTGAGAAATTCCATCATCTATTCTAGTAGCTAAATCTGTACTGACTCAATGTTCACTGCTCGATTATGAAATGGTTGGAGTCATGTTCGACTGGCATCAGTGCAACTCAAGTAACTTCAATCGTAGTACGACATAACCGGCACTTATGGTAAACCGGTGGGGGAGACGACGAAATATTCGAAAGTTCTGTCTATAGTTATACAACAGTCGGATCATAATGACGAAGCAGTAAATGTAGTCTTGGTATTGTTATCTATCTTTTCAATGTAAAGCTTGATATATTTATCTTATTTTATTTGAGTGACGACAAACAGTAGTTCGTAAATACGAGAAGAAATATTATTTTTTTTATAAAATTCTAACAATCAGTTTGATCATACGAAGAATGGTTTTGTTTTCCAAGTATGTTGTCATTTCTACCGTTGACACTGAAGAAACCTCATGGAGACTATGAATACGCAACAACCAAAATGGGAAGAAAGCAGCTAGTGGGAATCGCTCTCGTATTTTCTTCATCAATAACAACATGTTCGCTTTCGACAATTGTCAAAGAAATGACGTTGATGAATCGCTTTGTTTTGAGAAACCTACTTTCAAAGAAACTGATTTCGATTTAGAAAATGTCTACTTCAGCTGACTAAAGTTAAACGATTCAGTCAATATTCGATCAAGTGGTAGAATCTTACGGAGACAAATTCTATGAAGATTTTTAAATGGATGCGATTGATCAACTACTTTGAGATAGGTGACACGAGCATGAAGAACTTCGTTTTATTCTTCAAAATATTAATGTATGCGAATGAGTTTTCTACTTTTTGTGTGAATGAAAATCATCTTTTATGTATCCAATCCATCCAATACCGATGAATATTCGAAATTCACACTTAATATTAAATGAAAAGAAAGTAGTATCCATCACTCCAATTCTTGATGTTAGATCTTAATAAATCATTTTAATATTTTATATTAAGTTAAAGCTTGTCTACTTCACTTGTAATTCACTTAAAATTAAGTTTAAACAATTTTCAATCACTTAGCAGAGATTCTCTCTTAATGGGATCGGATAACGCAATATTAAGTCTTTACTGAAGTAAAGAAAAACTTGAAATTAAATTGAATTTGCCTGATACAAACATTTTAACTAAATTTTACACGCATCAAGTTTTAATTAGAATATCTTAAACTTAATATTAAGAAATTCATTGATGACAGCTGACTTCTCTTTTATTAATATAACGGTGAATGTAATGATTCTTAGCTTATTTTTAAAGTTAAGTAAATAGCTCATCCCTATAACAGACAATGAGGAACTTCAATAGATTCAGCTATTTCCATCAATAAACTTCTTATTCGTTATTTGATGAAATCTTTGTTTTGTTGCTTTGTAAGCTAGACATGCTGTGAAAAGTAATAAGTTGTGCAAATAAAAGACAGAATAAAATCAAAAATTACACATGTCTTTTTTCTTACGAAATAAAGAAAAAAAAACAAGAAAAGAAAGGTGTAGGCATATAAAAGTCCACAGATAATAGTATTGTTCTATATTTATGTAATGCTTTTTCATTAACAGCATGCTAGTATCCATGAGGTATGATGTGATGGAAAAGATTATAGACTTCTTCAAGAGCAAATAAAATTAACAGAATGGTTTCAAATAAAGGAGGAAAAAATGTTTCTTTTTGGGCTTCGAAAAAGAGAAAAGAGCAAGTACACCTTTGCTACCATCTTCGCCAATGACGATATCAGCAGACAACAGTGATTTGTCTGTTGAACTAGAAATATTTGAACAAAGTTTATTAGATGAAATTCATGTATGATACGAATTTAGTCGTTGCATTTTTCTATGGATAATGTATAATGCATAAGTAAATAAACGATGTTCGATAAAGAAATCTCTGTTCAATAAGACTGGACTACTCAATTAAAACATCAGAAATTATATTATAGTATATTTTGAAAATAATCAGACTTGTATGATGAATTGAAGAACTGTTTGTTAGTCATGATTATTGTGCGAAACACTGACGAAAACAGTTGGGCTTTATTTTTACTTACATCCATGTCATTGGGAATGATGATGAATTGAAACAGAAAGGAAGACGATGAAGAAAAAAGAAAGAAAAAAACCATGAGTCAATATTAGTAGTATGAAATTGAATAATTTTATTTAATTTCATTGCAAGAATACGATTAGAGGCTGATGCCTTCCGTAAAATGAAGTAGATATCCTCTAATTTCGTTCATTTTCAAGGTTTTTTCATCAGAGTACATTCATTACTGGAAATATTGAATCTTCATTCATTGTGCTATGTGCGCTGATGTGATTTCTTATATATAAGATAAATGGTATATGGTTGTTAAAAAATTAATCTCATTCAAGTCTATGAATAGAATCAGCAACAAACATGATCTTATCCATACTGTTATTGTTCACTAACATGGAATGTTACATCATACAAAATGATGAAATTCTATGGCAGAAGTTTCTTGAGTGTTGTACGCATTAGTTTTAAAATTGAAACCAGGTTGGAAGTGGCTATCTACTTTAACTTTCTACTGTTGTGCTCAAACCATCGAATACATACATATCTCTTGAATTATATTCACTAATGTAGAGATAAATTGTCACAATCTTAATACTGAATTAATCTTTCCGCTAGAAGTCGTTTATTGAAACAAAGATGCCTACTCTTTTCATTTTCTCCGATGATGCATTTTAGTACTGGATTTTTCTTAGTATCGAATTATTATTGTTATATGGTTGTTGATTATAAATATCGCGGATCAAAAAGATTAATCTCACCTAATTAAAGCTATTTTTGATATTGTCTTCACTTGAATATTTTCAGAATTGACTAATTTTTTTGTCATAATCAAAATATTTTATTTAACTCTTTGAGTCCCGGTGACGCATATATGCGTCCGAATGCAGTTATTTGACAAAGGTGCTCCTAGTATATTTTTTAATTGTTTGGAACATCTTTTTAACGTTTACTAAGTGTGGATGTGGGTTACTGGAGAAAAGAATCACACCCACACCCACACCTACATCCACAACCGCACCCCACCCTACCCGATATATTTGTTCTGACTCCGATACACCTGTATGTATTGTTGATTGCTTCAAAGACTACCATACAAAGATGAACTACTAATGATTTTTTGACACAAAAATGTAATTTCTTCGTAAAGAAATAAGGATCATAATTAAAAATTTCATTGAAAATTTCGAGTTTCGAAAAAAAGCCGGGACTCAAAGGGTTAATAATTAATTGACTCGGTTTTCTGTTCTAAAAAATGAGAACATACCATTGAAAAAACGTGATGCCATTTCAAGCGGAAGATTCATAAGAGTAAGTTTATGATAGGTCCCAATACGAGGAACACAATCTATTGACAATGAATCAAGAATAAGACATTGAATATTATGTTGAATTCGAGACAAAATATTAAAACAAAATCGATCAAGTATTGAGTTGCTTCTTGGATGATTCTGTTCATTTGATGATACTGTTACTAAATCAATAGATTGTATAAAAGTAATATCTCGAGCCAATCTATCGAGTTTTTGATCGACGCCTATGAATGAATACAATACATCAGTATTGTTTAGTTTATTGAAAATAGTAAGCAATATCTCATCGCATAGATTGAAAATATTAACAGTTAAATGGTTCATGTTGAATTATAATATGTGAATGACAAATGTTCCAGATACAAACTTTTTGTATGTACAGAATGTGGGTGTGGATGTTCATAAAGAAGAAACTCAACCTCAGACCCACACCCACACTTGCATCCTAGTCAGAAAAAAGTTCAACAGAGAGTCACTGGGCGGGTGAATGAGAGTGTGAAGATGAGGCAGATTTTACTTCGCTCTTGCTCATTCATAAGGTGACGTCTCTTAAACGTCATCTATTATTCGTATGATGGGATCTAAAGATTTGACCCTTTTTTATACGAAAAAGCGTTCAAATACTTGTCTACAAAATTATTAAATCTCAATGAATTTATTTATTTATGAAACATTGTGAACTTCTCAATAAGCACTGAATTTAGTAAATATAATTGTACTTAAGAGTGTATAATAGTACAGCAATCAACAAGAGTGTTATGCAAAGGGTAAGCTTCACGGATTAGGCGGTTTATAATCTGGACAATTCCATCCTTTTGGTGGAAGGAAAATAGTTGGATCGAATGCTTCTTCAACGACAGTATAGTTCGTGAACCATAAATGCTGATACACATCAAATAATGGCTGTGGAATTGTATGCTGGTAAATGAGGCGTCCATCAGTAGCTGCTGTATCAGTAAACCAAGTTACAACATCTGTTGCACAACTCCATCGATAAGCTTTGGTTGTCTGATAATATAGTGTCGAATTATATGAACATAGCTCTGCTATCCAATTTTGTGAGAGTATGATAGGATTTCCTGGGTATATAACACAGGATATTCCATCTGGTGTAAGACTCGCGTAGTATTGATACTGGTTGAGAGCTTCAGTTGATGAAAAAAAAGTATCATAGGGAACAGGAAATGTTCCGGCAAAATAGAAATCATCAGCCCGAAATTTTTGATTAATTGAATCCATTAACTGATATAAAATACCAGTACCAGCAGGCGAATTATTCGACGCATTTATAAATTCGAAATAGGCTGTTATTGTCCATCTTGGAGGATATTTAGGAGGATTAGGAGGTGGATTCTCGACAAATTGCTGACTAATCGATCTGGTTGACTTGTCCCAAACGAATCCATCCACCAGGTAACTGTTTATTGTCCATGTAGGTATGAAGAAAAGTGAGAAAAGAGGAATAATCTTCATTAATAGTTTTTCTGATTCTATAAGCAAATGAAAAGCATAGCAGTTTCGATTTGTCGTTTGATGACTATTTATTTCTTCGCATATAAAAGGGACAGAGTGAATTAATTGAATTAAATGTTTTTTTTATTTTGTTATTTTATTAAACATATATGAGAAGAAGCTAATGACAGAATTCATATGAATATCTTTATCTTTCTCTCTCAACTACTCCTCTATCCCTTGATGTTTTTCTTATCGTGATTTCTGCTATATACTTCTTTGTAGAAGAAAAAGACTTGATTGGTTAAAACTTCGAATTTGAAAAATTGAACCGACTAGTATAATAAAGAAGCACTGTTTTATGTTTCACTTCATCAAACTCCATGTGATTCTGACAGTCATAATCAGCTTTTTGTCTCACTTGCAAACGTTTATGTTTCAGTAAAGATTAACAACGGACTAAGAAAAATCAAAAATCATAACTTCTTTCTATAAGAGAATATAAAACATTACTACAGAAAATATCAAAATTTCAATCATTTCTCCATCAAAGGAGATTAAAATAAACATCTAAGGACATCTTCAGATAAGAAATTCAAGAAAAAATGTCAATATTGTTAAGTTTTTCTTGATTTGTATGATTGTCGCAGTACTTTATAGAATGATTTTTCATGATTTGACTAATTGTGCAATCATTGAATAAAGTAGTTTTGAATATCTATGAAATGACTTTTCCATTTTTCGATCTTGTTAACATTGTACAAAAAATCGCATTATACGCTGTAAACTTGACTATTCTTTACATGTCATGCTATACAGGTGAGATACTAAAATTTTGAAAAGATAAATTATATCAAGTAATACATATTTAACAGCGTCAAATAGAAGAAAAAGTAACTGTTTAAATCACCTTTGAATTGAACTTTATAGAGTATGTTCTAATTGAGACCAAATACTTAGCCATTAAACACATTTGTGGTCATCATTTGGAGCGCAAAAGATAATATTGATCACATATTTTCTTCGTTTCTAAATTTCAAACGTTTTTGCTTATTGAGTAATTAAAAAGTCTTAATTGAAAAACATATTTATTAACAAAACATAAATGTTCGCAAGTATTTAATTAATATCACAAATGTGAACGAACCGAATCTTGCCCAAAAATGTATAGTTAAGATATTTTTTAAACGATGATCAAACAACATAGAGTAATAGAGTTGTTCTCATGGAAAAAAGAGTAAGAAGACCTTCTAAAATATTAAGAAGAGCTTCGCTTCAAATCGTGTTTCAGAGAAACCAATTTTCATTCAAGTTGTCCATAGTATTAAATATATTTCTTCATTATTCATATGCACTCTGGAAGAACACATTCTTGTATTAGTGAACTTTCGTCCTCATTGAATGCGTTCAAAAGTAGTTTTTTATGAACTGCTACTTATGAAACACTGGAAATACTATTGAATAGTACTAACCTAGTTCCTAACTGTTGAATGTTCTAGTTACATTGAAGAAAAGTTGGATGCATTCTGACTTCGGACAACGTTTGTATTAAGAATTCTTGATTTCAGTTCCGAAAAGAAATTAAATTAACAAAAGTTGAATAGACATTGATGCTGCTGATTTGTACTATACTTAAAAATAACTGGTGAATTTAATTGCATATAAGATACAATTAGTGAATTTGAGATACTCACTTCTATCAAGTTTTCAAAATATCTTCTAACATTTAAAATCGATTGTAACAATAGAAGAATTTTTTCTATATATAAGGAAGATTAGATTGTGGCGAGGATAAGAAAAAGAAACATTGTCGAAAAATAGGAATTAATAATATCTATTTTTCAAAGATGAAGGTCAGGAATACATTTTTTCATATCGAACTATGAAAAAATTTCCATTAGCTTCATGTTTTGATTCATATTCAGAAATCAACTTAATTTGATACGTTTGCAAGCTGACTGTTTTTCGAATAACGTTCGTCATCAGAAAGAGCGTGTTGCTTGCCAGTGAATACGCGTTTCAACAGCTCTATTTTTTTATGGACACGTTCCTATTCATACGACTCGAGAAGAGAAAAATGATAACAATTCAGAAATGAAATAAAAATGAAATCAACGTTAACTTCTATATTCTGAATTCGGATCTTCTATACATGAATTGACTTAATTTTTGGTCATGATTATGAGGCTATGAAAAAGTATACATACTCGAAAAAGTCTTATCATTGTAAATGAAAGCATTTATTTGGATGATTAATTCAATAACAAACTAAACTACATCACATAATTAAATTACCCTACTCTTTCCTTTAGATGTAGTGCATGGAGTAATTTACCTGCTGTATTAATATTCTGTTCTCTTCAAATGTCTGGATGTTCTTAGTTAATATTTGATGAGATTATTTCGCAAATGATATTTCGTCATACTTTGCTTTCGTTATTCTTGCTGAATTATTCAGCAAGAATAATACCATTGCTTATTGATACTGAAATGTTGTTATGCAAATAGCATAATACTGATAAGAGAAAGAAACGTCTCTTCAAGTATGATATTCAGAAAAAAAGATTTTCTTCTTTTCTTGCAAGTTGAATGAGATCTGAGTACATTCGATACGAATATCAATTAATAGAATTGAAAGTTAGTAGTGCTTGATTGATAGTACTTTACTATTCTTTCTTCTTAAGAAATGTTAATCTTCTCAACTGTCGTACAAAGTATATAGAGATAATCAGTATGAAAGCTTGAGCTGAATTATAGTTAGTATTTGTTTTGCTCGCATGAAGATCTATTTCAAACGAGACTGAATCGGGAGGATTAAGTGATGATCCATCTGTCACCTTTACTCAGTCATATCGTGATATTTACTCAGAGAAGCCACTATTGGTAGTTTTAACTACTAGATACGCATCATTTTTACAGACTATTTATTGTCAAATATGAGATTTTAAGAACAAAATAATGTATAAGGTTATGTGCAAAAACAAGCTTTTCATCATGAATATATACTGAAAAATCATTCTAATTACTTGTGTGAAACAATAGTCGTTGATCGATTATTATAATGTGCAACATGATAGATGAAATGATTAAATATATGGGATTCAAGAGTACCATTTTCTTCATATCCAACAAATCTATAATTGTTTTAATCTGCAAATATGTATGTGAGTGAAGATGTTTAGATCCTCTTTTCTTTCATACCCACACATTACTAATTTATTGAACGCTTGTTTAGTTTTTGCAAGACGTAATCAATACTAAAAGTACCATTTTATCTTTTGATATTTACATTATACAAAACAAAGAGAGATGTGGGTTTGAGTTTGCACCTATGACTGTGGGTTTGAATTTGAGTTCTTGTACGTATTGGTGAGGGTGTGGGTGTGGGTGTGGTTTTCAGCCACAGCCACACCCACCCACATCCACACCCTACACCCTCATTAGTTGAAGAAACAAATTTATTTTTCATAAAAAATGAAAACAAAAATTAATTTTGGTTGTTTCGTTGGTCGTTTAGTTTCTCAATCTTTTTGTTTTTCTCATTGTGCTACGTTTGAAAAAAATGTTTGATTTAGAGAAAGCTTCAAATTATGCTAAATGGTGATAGTTGAAGAAAACTAAAAAAAGAAAGATAAGAAATGAAATATTTTATTACATATGAACACGATAAAGAGCCATCTTCAGTGATACTTGTAAATCTTTTACAAAGAAAATAAATGTGGTTGAGAGCAACAATTATGTTCTCGATCTTTGCTTATCGTTTTGAGAATTTTTCATGGCGATTGAAGAAAAAGCAGTGTTATAAAACATATTTGATCAATCAAATTGATCATTGATCATCATTTCGATTGTTCATATTCAATTTTAGTGAAATTATTTTCAAAAGCTACGTCAAAAACAATTTACTTTTGTCAACAACAAAAAAATATCTCATCGATTTATTTCAATATGAAAAAAATGCCTTTGATGAAAAATTGTTTTATAAAATCATTCAAATAAAAGGATTTCTTTTTGTTTGTCAAACAAAAAGAAACAGGGTGTAGGTGTTGGCGTGGATGAAAATCTGATATTCATCGGTACTCAGTGACTCATCCAAACTCACACCCTTATTTCGAGCACAATCTTCGCTCAGTTTTTCAACTATCTGACTATTTGATAAATTGCTCTTCTTCTAGTCTGCCAGATTGTCTAAATGTGATATACAAGGATTGTTGGAAAAGAGCATTTTCGAGAATATTTGTGAGTATCTTTTTCTTAGTGCTTTTCATTATATGACTCATACAGAGTGGGGAAATTGTAAACATGGGAAAGGTCAAATGATGTAAATCTTTCATTATGATGGTATTTTTTCTTTGCCTTATCACAATAGTTCTTATCTTCGTTGTGCCAATGCAAGTAGTTCTCTTGCACATGATTCACATAGTCCCGAACTACTTCCCATTTCCTTCTTTATCATTATATAAAGACAGCGGGTGATCAATATTTCTTATACATACAAATATTCAATTCAAAACAACAACTCAACGATAGACTACTATGCAACACAAGCATCTTTTCAGCATTCTTCTTCTGGTTAGCCTGATCATGGCGACTACGATTCAAGCAAATACAGTGCCTATGGCCAATGAAAATCTGCAGGAAGAACAAGATGAAGAAATTCTCGTACGAAACGCTCGAGGTGCACCCGACTGGCACTGTACACAAGCATGTGCTCAATGGTGGCAATGTAGATTTACTGGTTTCTTTCTTCGTCGATGTGACCGACCTCAAGGATGTATATGTGACAGATTCTTTTGGGAAGTATAGAGCTATGAGTTATTTCTGACGATTACTAATAAATAAATCCTGTTAATCACGAATCGATTTAGCACTCTCATGTAAATCCTTCTATTCATGGGTAATGGAGTAGTTGTGGGTAAACGAAAGATGTACATGGTTAGCTCTTCTCTCAAAGATTGTCTTTTACTCTGCCTTTCAGCACAAGTAGCACATCAGGTATGTCATAGGATCTCTCTTTATATGAGTTCTATTAGTCACAACGAAAACTAGAGAGTAGATGCACCACCGATCATAAAAACGTGCCAAGAAAGAGAGCGCCTCATTAGTATCATTACCAAATGAACGTCATGCGAAGCAATGGAAAGATAAGACCACAGATCACAGTCTGTAACATTTCCCTTGACCTACCAGAAGAAGAAGAAGAATACCCCGCCTTTCGAGTACCTTGCGGCATAGGGTGCTGTCCGAGGACAGTTTCGAGAAGCCCGATATTTTCCTACATCTATTACTAAATATAGCTCTGGACAGAAGGCCAGCCTGACTCAGAATTCTTCTCGCTTAATTTCTTAAGCTCCTCATACATACTGACTAACCACATACTAGTCACAAGGACCATGAATACGGTTAAAAATGTCCCTTCAAAAATATCCTTGAAATTTGATCCTTAGAAAAAAATGTCCCCGAAATTTTATCCTTGAAAAAAATGTCCCCCATGAAAAATGTCCACTTTGAAAATGTCCCTTGTAAAAAATGTCCCTGAAAAATGATCCTTAGAAATATTGTCTTCCGGGTGTGGGCG